ACAAAATAATAAATTAGTTCATAATTTCTTCTTATCAGATAAATTAAATAACAAACTCACTTGTCTTTATTTTTCTTTCAATAAAGGAGTTGTATAAATAAGGTAAAAAAAAATATGTATAAATGAAAGGAAAAATAAAATGTAATATAAGTGCTTGAAATATTTCTTTTCTTTTCTTTTCCATGCCTTCTTGCAAGATAAAATTATTAAACTACATGTATTTACAAACAATGCGTTGTAATTATCATTACACAAAAGTCATATATATATATATATATATATATAATGAATGATGATATAATTGATTATTTATATTGAGTATTCTAAATGTTAGCATTACACACGAAAAGTTATATATATAGTATTGATATAATTAGAACTAATATTATATAAATTTTTTTAAAAATATTTTAATTATCTAAAAAAATAAATAAAAAACAACTTTTTAGTTAAAAGATTTTAAATGTTATAAAAAAAATGTCTTACTATTTAAGAAATAATATAATTATTGTTTAGTTGATATTATAATAATTGCTGAAAGTTATAAAAAGTATAAAATATTCAAGTTCAAACAAAATAATTTGATAGTTACTTTTTATAGTATCAGAATATCTTTTTTTGCAAATTATCAAAAAAGTCTTATTTTAATCTAATAATAAATCACTTTAACAATTACTTATTTTAGAAAGATAGTTAAAACAATAGTAAGTATCAATGGTCAAAATAATTTATAAGCAATAAGTTTGTAAAATAGGTTTTTAAATATTCTTAAATAGATTTAGAAAAAATAGAAATTAAATAGTATATTTATTTATAGATAATAAAGATTTAAAGAATTTTTTTATAAAGTTTTATTTATTAAATATAAATATTATCTCCAGTTTTTTTATTTTAATTTCCTTTTAAAAACATCATACAATTTGAAATAAAACTAAAAAATATAATAGCAATATTAATAGTACCTTAGTATATTGGTTTTGACCTATACTCTTAATAAATTATATTAATAGCAACAAACTAATATGGAAGTAATTTAATATAATCTAGTAATATATAAAATAGTTCATAAATATTAATTTCTATAATACAAAATATACAGTATATTATTATAAAAAAGTATAATATTATAAAACAAAATCTTTTTATCTGTTTTTTGAATTTACAAAAAATCAAAAAAAAATTTTTTATATTATATTTACTAATTTATTAAAAATCTTATTAACTCTTTGTTATTTATTTAAACATTAATATATTACTTAGAAATAACATCAAATAAAAAGCATTATGTTATATTGTTATTATATTTGATAAACCACTTAAAAACAAGATCATTTTATAATAATTTTTTTTAACGGATTGTTAAACCCATTTTTATCTTTATTAATTTTTTTAGAAAAATATTATATATATATATATATTAGCTTATTTTTTTTTATTTTTATTTTAATTATATTATATACTGTATATATAATCCAATTAGATCGAAGCAAACGGATTTTGTGAGATTATGAGAAGCATTAGATTGCAAGAGCTTACCCGTAGTTTAACCTTATTCAAGATTAATCATTCAATGCTCGAAATTATTCCATTATCCGTCTTTTTTTTTGAATCTTCTCTCTCATTCTTACCAAAAGAACCGTGAACATGAAAATGAAATCCTTTATGACGAATTTCTCTCCCACTAGTTATTCCACACTTACCATGCGGGTTATAACCAAGAGGACTAAGCGAACGTAAGCGTAAACTTCGACGACGTAAAAGTCTACCACGATGACCATGCGCATTTTTGATTACATGACGGTTACGACCCTTTAACCTTCGAATTTCTAGATTTTTCCTCACTTCATCGGTTTCATCTAACTTAGCCACATCCAAAGCTCTTTTATCACATTTAATTCTAATAATTTCCGGAATGTCGTGTTTACCTCGAAGTCCAATACCATGTTCTCTACGATGTCCAAATCCAAAAACATGTTTTCCACGATGTCCATGTCCAAATCCATGTTTCCCGCAGTTTTTATGCCCGAATCCATGTTTTCCACGGTTTCCACGTCCAAATCCATGTTCTACATGACTGCCTAATCCTCTATGCGGATTTAAATCTTTATGAAAATGATGGAGACAAACTTTTTGCAAACCAATCCTTCGCCCGCCATCCCAGGGTATGCGCCTTTTTCTACCATGACGGCGAGAGACAATCAAGTAAATTTCTGAATCAGACACGCTTTCTCCTTTAATATTGTTTCCTTGTTCTTCAATATGCATATCACTACCTTGTTCTTTAATTTGCATATTTTCCAATGCCAAGGTGGTGATATCAATCGTTTCTTCAATAGGTTTGATAAGGTTATTTAAAGTTTTGTTGTCGTCAATTTGAGAGGTTTCCATTCTTATTTGGCTGTGAAAACTTATTTACCCAAAGAATATGAAAGTAGAAAAAAAATTTTTTATTTTTTGAGAATTCGCACAATACCTCTTTTATACAGTAGCAAATCGGAATTCGGGTAAATTATGATGTAATAATTAACCAGTAAATAAACATGTGATTTTAAAATTACGTCATTTGAAAGAAAATGATAAAAAGTAATTTGATTTCTATTTATATAAAACAAAGATGTACATATTGATCCATAATTTTATTTAGTTGTAAATAAAAATAGAATTTTTAGATTAATTAGTATTGTAACAGAGTTAGATATTGTTTCGACAGTTTTTTATTATTGCTCTTGTAAGCAATTTCTTATTATTTTTTATATATAGCTGCTTAATAATAAATTGCAAATTTAAATATTTTAATAAACAAAAAAATTTATACTTAAATATTACAATAAAATTTTCATAAATTGATATTAATTATTTCTCTAAATTTATAAATTTTTTTAATTTTATTTATCAAAATTATTAATTTATAAAAGGTTTACTATAGTTTAATATTTAAATTTATTATAAATTTATATAAGTAAATTATAATATATATTATCCCTTAAATCGTAGGGCATTTTTTTTATAACGTTTAAAATTTTTTAATTAAAAAGTTGCTTTTCATTTATTTTTTTAAAGAATCAAAATATTTTTCTAAAAATTTATA